TCAACCAATCCTCAGCTCTATACTGAGGCCGGCTATCTAACTACTTTCTAGTGGCCAAGTTTGTTCAACTAAGGTTCTAAGGTCCGTTAGTGCTTCACGACACCATGCGGCGGCCCCGTATTCTCCTCGTTTCCACACGAAGGATACCGGTACCAACCAAAGTGTCACACCAACACAGCCATCTCTTAAACCATATCGGTCTATGACGTACAGTCTCCATGATCTATTGTTGTTTACCTAAAAAGTGTCCCCAGATCCGGGTGTAGGATCTTTAATAATACCCAAACAAAACCCTTGAATTTAAGCAGGCAAGGCAAAACAAGAAAACAATTTTAAAATGACCTAGATCCTAAGGTAAACCCCACTTTATAGTCCCCAGCAGAGTCATCAGTTCTGTGATACGGTGGCAGAATCGACTGTTATACTGGTTTGTGTTTTTTGTTCACAAAATATTGTGGTAAGCAAGAGTTGCCACCGACTTTTATTTTATCCAATCAGGAAAGGAAAAAGAACAGAAAAAACCTTTTTCGAGATGTTTTTGAGTACGGGGCGTAGGTTATAGAAAGGGAAGGTGTTAGCACCCTTTCTATCCATGGTTTTCCATGAGCTCTTAGGTACTTGCTCATTTTTCAAATTGCTTGTGTGTGCTTGTTTTGAAATTTTTTATTTTACTTCATTTTAACCCTTGTTTTTGTCCTCAAGAATGTTACGAAGTTGTTTTTGAAAACTTTGTTTGAAAAGTGTTTGTGTGAAAAAGATTTGTTTGTTTGAGGAAGTACTTAAGAGTTTTCTACCTACTCGAAAAAGGTTGTTCGTTTTCTCGTTTCCTTTAGACAATGCTATCCTACTATTAAGGAGTAGGTAGCCCCATCGTTGGAGTTTGAGGGACTATCGAAAGGGACGAAATGGTCATTGAAGGCAACATGTAAAGATAACTTAGCAGTTCGAAGGGACTGTCATCATATATTTGTAGGCAACATCGAGGGACAAGATCATTTCTCGTAGACAACTTGAGGGACATTGAAGGACTATGATCTTTATGATGACTTTTAGATTGAGGGTCTTTTGCTAAGATATCCCTACGTTCGAGGGACATGACCATTGTTTTCCGAGGCAACCAAGTGGGGAGTACCCTAGGGGTGCAAGTGTGCAATAGTGTGTTTTTTCAGTTATATTTATCTTACAATTAGGGTTTTCTATCGTTCATTTTTATATTTCCATACGATCCTATTAATCTAAGCATTGCATAAAATATAGTAGCAGAAGGTAAAGGCAGAAATGTAAACCTAATTACTATTACAAATTCAGAGCAGTTACAATAATAATAGAAAGGAAATTAAAAATGCGTGCGGCGAGTTAAAGGCGAGAATAATTAGAAAACCTAAAATATCTAGTTGAAAAAGATTTAGGTTATTTTTTTGAGAAAAATTAATTAGGTTATGTACAAATTAAACCCTAATTTCTAATTGATTTAAATTTTTTAAAAAAAGGAATTAAATTACCCCTAAATAATTAATCTAATTAATTAAGGAAATAAAATATTTTTTATGAAAAAAATGATTTTTATGTTAAATAATATAAACTTAAAAACTTAATTAATTTTAATTACTAAAAAATGTTAATTTTGAAAGAAAAAAAGGTTAATAAAAATCTAAAACCTAATTAATTTTAATTAATAAAAAAATGTTAATTTTGGAAAAAGTTAATTAAAATACCTAAATCCTAATTAGTTCGAATTAAAAAAAAAGGTTAATTTAAAAAAAGGTTAATTAAAAAAAAAACCTAAAACCTAATTAATTTTAATTTAAAAAGGTTAATTTTAAAAAAAAAAGGAGAAAAAAATTAAGTTTGCCAAAAAATAGATAGGGGGAAGAAACATCAATGAAAATAGGGTTAGAAAATAAAAATAATGCAAATATCAGGGGTGTGTGTTGACCCAAAAATTAATTTAAAACTTAAAATTAAATTTAAAAAAAAAACAAAAATTAATTATTCGAGTTTATTATGAAAATTATGAAAAATCAAAGGTTTGTGAAAAATGTTAGGTTTTATGAAAAGGGTTTTAAACAGAAAGAATGAAAATAGGTAAAAGGATAAATAGAAAGGAAGAAAACCAAAACCAATAGGGGTGGTTGTTGAACCCACGCCCTTAACCTCCTCAGGATGTCTGCCTTGCCATGAGCCATGCATTGGTGGTTGTTCTGTTTTGGCCTCAGCGTTTTGTAATAACCATGCATAGGACCCTGTCTAAATCTGCAGTGTTGAATCTCATGAACACATTAAATAAATTATTATATCATGAAATACAAATAAAGCAAATATATGAAATCTTGTAATGTTAAAACTGATATGACATGTATGAATGCTTCTATATCCTTTTGATCATGCAGATCAAACCAGCCTTACCCTTACTGGAAAAGTAGTGAAAGTAGTGAGATGTGAGTTTGTAATAAGGATTTCAAGGTTTTTTAGGGTTCTTGAAAGAATTTGATATTTTGACAGGGTTGTGGCAAAGGTTTTTTTTTCATGTTCTATTTGTGTGAAAAGAATGAGATTATATAATGGAAATTAGAGAAAAAATGGGCTTTGAAGTGCAATTGGGACTCCAATAACCACAAGCAATAGTGCAGATTTTTATTCACTTGAGTCCATCATGTTCCAGGCTAAATCGCAGGGGCTTAAATGCAATTTTTGAAGTTGAAATGTGAAAACAAAATATATCCGACATCGAGAATTAACTCCTGTCCAAAAATAGGCTTAATCGGAAAAACGGTTAATTAGTTATGAATTTTTGAAGTTTTGGCTCAGACAAACTTATTTTGGGCTCCAGTGTCAACTCTGACACGTTCTTCATAAAAAACTGGTATTGATCGGAGCATAAATCGGTCTCGACTTTGGAAGAAAAGTTGTAGACCTCTGAGTCAGTGACCTTTTGTAAAAAGATGGGTCCAATTCGATAAAAATTTACCGAGTTATGAATTTTCGAAGTTTCGACCTAGATGAAATAATATTCAGCATTCAGGATTTTCGGCGCGTCATGTGCACTCTGAGGAAAAAACGAAGGCCTTTTGGATACCGTTCGAACTCAATACCTCCTGTGAAAACTTAGCCAACTCAATTTGTGAAATTTTGATGCCAGAACCAGCTCGATACGATGAAAATCGACCAAGTTATAATTTTCTGAACATGACACAAATAAACTTCTTTCACAAATTTTCTGTACGAAAATACTTGATAAATCCGCATTTTTGAAGAGCTTCTGATCGAAATTGGCTTCCAGCCGTGAGATATGAAAATGTAGATAACGTCAAGACGGAATTTCGGCCACCAGAATGGATTCAAAACGAGCCACGATCTTCAAGTTATAAGTTTTTTAATGTGTAAAAACTGCACTTTCAACACACTTTTTCACCATGTTTCTTCGAGAAAACTCACACATTCGAAGACCTTCTTTAAATAATTGGCTCTCAAGCATAACCTAAATTTTAGAATATGTCACCTGGGATATCTTGGCGAAGGGCACCTGAATATGACGCGCCGGGTTGGACTTGTGAATATTTGAACCTCGAATCGTTGCGAAACGACGATCCGATCTTCAGCACGGAAAATACTCTGAGAACATCTTCTAGATACCGTTAACACAATTGTCATACCCCAAATTTGCCCTACCCTTCATGTATTTTGTAGTTCTATTTTATTTTGAATAATACATTAGCCTAAGGGATATAAAGTGAATAAAGAGTGCAAGGGTGAGAATACCTGAGTCCAATTCCCACCTCTCTCCTCCTCGTTATTTTTCTTCATTTTTTAAACTTTTATCTAATTGTATTCATTTTTACTTTAGGCTTAAATTTCTTATTATTGTGAATTTTAGAAGTAAAAAAAAAATATAATAATATTTTAACTTTTATAATCATTATATTTTTAGCTTTAAAATTTTTATTCTATATTAATACTCATTAGATTTTTTTTTTTCCTTTTTTCATTTAGAAGTACTGATTGTTATTTTACTATGGTTATTATTAGGTTCTAACGTTAATATTTTGGTTATAATTAAATTATTATTTTTCATTTTTAGGATAGAATCAGGTTTTGTTATATTAAATTAATGAAGTTTTGTTATATTATAACTTAGTTCTGCTAGTCCTGGCATGTTGTTTGTACCACAACATCTTTTGGTTCCTGTAATACTTTTTGCACCTCTGTTGCTAATGGATTTAATTTGTTTCGAAAATAATCAATGAAGTTTTAAGCCTTTTGAGTAAAATATTAGAAAGAACTAATAAAAGTCACATATGGTTTCCATTAATCCAAATTTTCAGTTACAATCCATAATTTTGTTCACAAAGTTATCCTATTTTAGGACAAATCTAAAAGAAATATTTTATTGAAACTCAAGTATAGGTAGAATCTAATATTCCCAGAAAAAACAAAGAGACTTAACCTACAAGTTGAAAAATTAGATCTCCATCTTCATCTGCAGATTGAACAAAATTGATTGCAGAGGATTTTAAAGCCAAATGTTTCTAAAAGCAGAGTAAATTAGATTAATTTCACACCAAATCTCTTTATTCTACTCTAAATTCAACCAACCTTTAAATTTGGATCAAATCAATACAATATTGCACAAAACAGATCCAATCAAGATGAAGTGTTCAAATCATATCTCATCACATTTTGATATCAAAATCTCAAAACAAGACAGAATCAACTCAAAACAGAAACAATTTTATTAACATTCAAAGTACTAATTACAAATCTTCATCAATGTGGAATAAAACCAGAAGCAGAAACAATTTGTCATATACCCAAAATTATAGACAAATTAAAATGTTTCCTAAAACAAATTTCCCAACGATTGCTATAAAAACCTAAATTACAGTAAGAGGGGGGACAGTAAACAAAAACATCATTACAGAGGACATAAGCAAACTGCTACAATACAGAAAAAGGAAGAAAAGAGAAGGAACATCATTGTAACGCGCCGTCACCTCCCTGTCATGCTACCGATCTGCATGCAACAACAACTCCTCCATCATCACTGCAACATCTGCGGTCAGCCACCGCTTACCCACACCACCCCAGTACCGCCGCCGTTTTCCACTGTCTCAATCGCCAACGCGGCCCTCCATACTCTAAGTGGTGGTTTCTGTCTCTTATTATTTCTCATGTTGACTTTAATTTATTTTTTTTGCTTTTATTTGCAAGGAAGAATGAGAGGAATTTAAGAAAAGGAAAAAGAAGAAGTTTAGAGATATAGAAAGACCGGAGTGAAATAAATAGCAATTGGTGATATTTTGAAAAGTCAAAATGGAACTCATTCATTGACAAAGGCACTTGGGCGGTACCCATTCTCCAAACGGATTCTCTCTTTATTTTTTTTTATTTTTTTTTTAATTTTAATATATTGAAAATTGGAGTTAGTTGGTGTTTGAACTCTTAGACTATTCTAATGCTATAAACACCTCTTTTATATTGTACTTGCACAATTTAGTATTTTTTTTCTATTTTATGTAATCATTTTTTTTTACTTAGTTTATTTATTTGTTTATTTGATTTATTTACATTGAAGTTAGTTTTATTTCAAATATAAAAATTCAAAAAAAAAGTATTTTATTTAGCTAGCTTAATTATTTAATAATTCATAATCTACGCAAATCAAACACTTTATCGAATCAAATTAACTCAAACATTTTACAAATAATAAATGTGCATCCTCGAGTAATTAAGTGGCCGACTTATGTTTATCAATTAATTATTTAAACTCAAACGATTAAAATCCACACAATTCACCAAATTCACCAAATTCCCTTGCTCTACGTATAAAAAATATTCAACCAAACACCAAATCTTTTTTTCGTAAATTAAATTAATTCAAACAATTAATTTTCAAAAAGAAACGCGAATATATTTAAATTAACTGCATACTTGGTCTAACAAACTCCATTATTCACACTCTTAGACCATGTATGCGGGAAATTCAAATATATTTCGCAATTTATAAAAAATACAAACAATCTTGTGAACTACGAAATGGGACTCTGATTCCTCCTAAGAGGATACGTAGGCATACAATGAAAAATCATTGCGAGTCCCCCTATCTAAAATTAAAACATTTTTTCCCGCTAACTAAAATTAAAACCCTTTTCCCTAATAATTATATAAAACCCTATTTCCTAAGAACGCGCTTCTAAACCTAGTATCTTTGTGAAAAAGGTAGATAAGGGGTGCCTAACACCTTTCCCTCGTCTAGAACCGAATCCAAATCTAGAATCTCTGAAGTTTAGGGTTATTCATTTATACTCCCTTCCTTTAGGATAAAAGTTAAGAGTGGCGACTCTGATTAAAAAACCATTTGCAACAATAGTATTAGCATTGGAGTCTTCAGAGACATGGAAATATTTCACAGTTGACTTTCTTTCTTTCCACAGTTTATAAAGAGTAACAAATGTACTAGATCTGATAGTCACTCTATTATGTATATAACAGGCAGTGTTCATGGCTTCAGCCCAAAAATGATATGGAAGTTTCTTGGCATGAAGCATGACCCTGGAACATTCTTGAATAATCCTATTCTTGTGCTCCACCACACCATTCTATTGAGGAGTGATAGGTGAAGAGAACTTATGACTAATCCCTTCAGAGGTGAAAAATTCATCAAACTTGCTATTTTCAAATTCTTTCACATGGTCACTTCTAATTATGACAATACCATGTTCCTTCTTTCTTTGAATCCTTTGACATAATCCTTTGAAGACCTTTGTAATACGGTGGGAGAACTGACTTGGGTGTTTTGAGTTTGATCGCAATTGTTGCAGATAGCAAGAGTCGCCACCGACTTTTCTTTTATCCAATAAGGAATGGTTGAAAAGAACATGAAATATCTTTCGAGATTATTTCTTGAGTTTGGGGGGTAGGTTATGAAAATGGAAGGTATTAGCACCCTTTTCATCTATATTTTTCTATGGGCTCTTAGTTGCTTGTTAGATCACTTGCTTTTGTTTGAAAATGTGCTTTGTGATGTGGGTTTGAAAATATTTTGAAAACGTCTCTGTAATGATTCCCGTCTCTATAAGAACGCGTACAAAGTGTTGGTTTTGAAAATAGTTCAAAGAGGTGTTTGTGGAAGATGTTTTTTGAAAGTGATTTTGAAAAGTGCCTTTGTAATGATTCTCATCTCTATAAGAATGTGTACAAAGAGATTTGACTTTTGAAAATGTTTCAATTGAAAGTGTTGGTGTGAAAATGTTTTTTTTATAGTTGTGAGCAAGCGAGCAACTATGAGCATCCTACCTACTCAAAAGGTATAATGTTCTTTTCCTCCTCCTTTAGATGTTGCTATCTTACCATTGATTGATAATAAGCCTCATCATTGGATGTGAAATGACGGGCGTGAGTCATTTGTATAGTCATAAAAGGCAACTTATGAGACATTTTAGCAATTTTCGTAAGGGACTAGATCGTTTACCGAAGGCAACATCGAGGGACTACGGTCCTTTTTTATCGAGGGTCTTTGCTAAAACGCCCATATTCGAGGGACATGACTATTTTCTGAGGCAATAAGTAAGATTACCCTAGAGGTGCATGTGTGTGAATAACATGTTTGATTTGCATGCATTTTTGTCTTTTATTAGGGTGGTCTAGTTGTTGGTTTTATCTTGTCATACACACCCTAGTTACTAACATTTATGAAAGAAATAAAAAATGCAGAAAATAAATATCCTACACTATTACAACCATATTGAATAGCAAGAAAATATAAAGAAAATCATAAATAATATAAAAAGAGAGAAAAAGTGAAGAGAGGGCCATACAGCCGCATGAAGAGCCAGTGGAAACAGTAAATCTGGGTACAGAGGAAGACAAGAAAGAGGTCAAGATCGGTGCAAATCTGGAATCTAGTGTCAAGCAACGTTTGATTCAGATGCTGCGTGACTATGTTGAGATCTTTGCCTGGTCTTATGAAGATATGCCTAGGTTGGATACCGACATTGTGGTTCACCGTTTGCCTACCAAGGAAGACTGTCCTCCAGTAAAACAGAAAGTTCGCCGAATGCGCCCAGAGATATCTGAGAAAATCAAGGCTGAAGTTATGAAACAGTTTGATGCCGGTTTTCTAGCAGTTACTTCTTACCCACAGTGGGTGGCCAACGTGGTTCCTGTGCCGAAGAAGGATGGTAAAGTTCGAATGTGTGTTGACTATAGGGATCTGAACAGGGCAAGCCCCAAGGATGATTTCCCTTTGCCTCATATCGATGTTCTGGTTGACAACACCGCACAACATAAGGTCTTTTCCTTTATGGATGGTTTCTCCGGTTACAATCATATTAAAATGGCTCCCGAAGATATGGAGAAGACAACCTTTATTACTCAATGGGGTACCTTTTGCTACAAGGTCATGCCTTTCGGATTGAAGAATGCTGGGGCAACGTATCAGCGTGCCATGGTCGCGTTGTTCCACGACATGATCCATCATGAGATTGAAGTATACGTTGATGATATGATTGCAAGAACCTAGACTGAGGAAGAACATCTCGACCACCTTAAGAAGCTATATGACAGGTTGAAGTTGTACAAGCTGAGGTTAAACCCGAACAAGTGCACCTTCGGGGTGAGATCTGGCAAGCTGCTGGGTTTTGTCGTAAGTGATAAAGGTATTCAAGTGGATCCTGCAAAGGTGAAGGCTATACAGGAAATGCCAGCTCCCCGAATAGAAAAATAAGTCAGAGGCTTTCTGGGACGTCTGAACTATATTGCTCGATTCATCTCACACCTAACTGCTACTTGTGAGCCAATCTTCAAACTACTGAAGAAAGATCAAGTGGTAATATGGAACTACGAATGTCAAGCCGCTTTCGAAAGGATCAAAGAGTATCTCTAAGAGCCACCCATTCTGATGCCTCCAGTTGAAGGGAGACCTCTGATCTTATACTTGACAGTACTCGATAATTCAATGGGGTGCGTGCTGGGTCAGCATGACGAGTCTGGCCAAAAAGAGCATGCTATTTATTACCTTAGCAAAAAGTTTACCAACTGCGAGACCCGATACTCGTTGCTTGAGAAAACTTGTTGCGCTTTAGCATAGGATGCTCGCCGGCTGAGACAGTATATGCTGACTCACACTACTCTATTAATATCAAAGACGAATCCTATCAAGTATATCTTCGAGAAGCCTGCCTTGTCCGGAAGAATAACAAGATGGCAGATGATCTTGACTGAGTATGACATCCAGTATACGAACCAAAAGGCAATCAAGGGAAGTGTGTTGGCGGATCATTTGGCACATCAGGCAGTGGACGATTACCAGTCTATAAACTTTGAATTCCCAAATGAGAACATCATGTTGGTAACTGACTGTGAGACACCTGGACCGGATGAAGGACCTGAGGAGGGATCCTGATGGTCTATGTACTTTGATGGAGCTTCAAACTCTTTGGGTAATGGCATTGGTGCCGTGATCATATCTCCTGAAGGCTCTCATACTCCATTCACCGCCCGACTATGTTTCAACTGCACCAACAACATGGCGGAGTATGAAGCATGTATTATGGGTCTTCAAGCAGCTATTGACCTAAGGATTAAGTTCTTAAGTGTATTTGGAGATTCCTCTCTCGTGATCAGTCAAATCAAAGGCGAGTGGGATACGAAACACCCAAATCTTATTCCCTACAAGGAGTATGTGTTGATGTTTCTTCCGCACTTCGAGGAGATAACCTTTGAACATTTCCCCAGAGAGGAGAATCAGTTGGCGGACGCGTTGGCTACGATGTCTTCTATGTTCAAAGTCAGATGGGACAATGAGGCTCCACAAATTACCATTGAGAGATTGGACGAACCTGCACATTGTTGTGACATCGAGACTGAAGTTGTAGCAGATAAACCCTGGTTTCATGAGGTAAAGAGGTATCTTAAGGCTCAGGAATACCCTGAGGGTGCATCTGTTAATGATAAGAAGTTTATGAGGAGGTTCGCGGCGAAGTTCTTCATCAGTAATGGCATCCTTTACAAGCACAACCATGATTCAACCTTACTGTGATGTGTGGATAAGAACGAAGCAGAAAGGATTATAGTAGAGTTACATGAAGGTACTTTCGGAACTCATTCCAGTAGACACACCATGGCAAAGAGAATCCTTCGGGCAGGATATTATTGGTCCACAATGGAAGCCGACTGTTATCAGCATTCTCGGACCTGTCACAAATGCCAAGTCTATGCTGATAAGGTGTAT